TGTTATATGCCCCTTTTTCCATGGCCCCGAGGTTTATTTTAGGTCTGGCATGAAGTAGGTAAATGCTTAATGGCTGTACTTTTGATTCCTGGTTTTCAGCTCTGTTCTAAATAAGATTGCTTCAAAACTGAAGAGCTTCTGTGTTACTTTGACCTTGATATTCAGCTGGGTTATTTTAAAAGATTAATTTCCAAAGTTCAGTTAACTAAGTAAGATGGAGCTATTTAAAAATTCAGGGTAGTCTTTTTTGTGCCTACGTGTGGTTGTGAGTCCTGCCCCTCACCCCCTGCTATGAGCAAATTGTGTGCTTTCTAAAAATACTGCTATTGAAATATTACCATGTCCCAAAGGGGGTTAAATTGTGAGAACAATAGAAATGCCTTGTCATCTTTCACAGGGTTTGAGATTATAGGAATTTGAACATGTTTCTCTTTCCCTCGTATTTTTAAGGGTTTGAGAGTACCACTCCAAACCTTTGAGTCTCTTATTTATTTATTTTTTTACTAAGCAGATATCTAAGTATCTATTGTTTAAAGTATCTTTATCTACTCTATTCTGATTTTTTGGTGTTTTGCTTTTAAGTCAACTGAAAATTACCTTATTCCTGTTGAGTAAATTTCTTTCCCTGGCTCCACTTTAATCTTTATTCCTTTAGAGAAAGATGATGGAGAATATGAGTTATAGTACATTCTTTCAAGGTGTGTGTGTGTGTGTGTGTGTGTGTGTATACATATATATACATACACACACACATCCATACGTGCACACACACTTCATTAAGAAAAAGAGAATAGTGTGTATTATTACATTGTTCCCTGATTAAGGTAAGCAGGCACAAATGAAGAACCTCTTTGATACAAAAATTTTTTTTTGACAAAGGATAGTTGAGTGCCTTTATCATAGCAGGCACAAGGCTGGGCTCTGAGCTGGAGACATGAATGTTATAGTTTCTGGATTTAATGGCTTCAAATTCTATTTAAACAAATGGACAACCAACCAGAATTGGCCTGACCAGCGTGGCTCAGTGGTTGAGCTTCGACCTATGAACCAGTTCGATTCCCACTCAGGACACATGCCCGGGTTCTGGGCTCAATCCCTAGTGGGGGGCATGCAGGAGGGAGATGATCAGTTATTCTCTCATCATTGATGTTTCTATCTCTCCCTCTCCCTTCCTCTCTGAAATCAATAAAATATATGTGTGGGGGTTTTTGTGTTTGTTTTTTAAAGAGCAGAAATGTATGTATGAGGGGAAGTGGGAGTACAAAAAGAGTAAAATAGAACTAAATTGTAAATTGTATAGGGTTAAGGTGGGACAGGTTATTGCAGGAGAGGAAAGTGAGTTACTGGCATGTGAACTTGGCATATTCTAAGAATGGGCAGGGGTTCTGTGAGCCACATCATGAATAACTAATAGTATGCTAAGGACTTGGTTTTATTCATCAACTGATAGAGACTTGCGGAAGGGTTTTTTGAATGGCAGAGTGTCATGATCAGATTAATAGGAAGAATGGATTGAAGCAGGGCAGTCCGGAACATGCCAGAGAGCAAGTTAGAAGGGACTCTCATAATCTAGAAAAGAAGTGGGGAAGCTCTAATTGAACCAGTGATTTTTAGTTTGTTTTTCTTTTCATCCTCACCCGAGGATATTTTTCCCGTTGATTTTTAGAGAGAGTGGAAGGGGGGGGAAGAGACACCAAAGAGAAATATCTATGTGAGGCAGACACATCAATTGGTTGCCTCCTGCACATGCCCCAACTGGGGCCAGGGATCGATCCTGCAACCGAGGTATGTGTCCTTGACCGGAGTAGAGCCCAAGACCCTTCAGTCCTCCAGCCAACGCTCTAACCACCGAAAAACCCGGCTAGGGCTGAACCAGTGATTTGTATAGCTAATCCAAAATTTTAAAATGTGTTTTTTGCTTTAAAACTCAACACATTCTGAAATTTTGGTTTAGCAATAAGATTCATGAAACTTAAATACAATACAAGTTTCAGAAAGTTTTATGAAGTGTCAGGTATTAACTTCTTTGGGTGATTTTGACTTTAAATTCTTCAGCTGTTGGCTCAGTACAGAGTAACTTATGTGCTGACCTACAACAGTGGTTTTCTGCTATTCGGTGTATGTTCTCAGCATGGAAGTAATTACAGCTACTTGAAAATACTGTGCTCTGCCTTAGCCCATGGTCCCAAAGCTGCCTTTTCTGCAGAGCATTTGTATTGGAAAGAAATTTTTGCCGAAACCGGTTTGGCTCAGTGGATAGAGCGTCGACCTGCGGACTGAGGGGTCCCAGGTTCGATTCCGGTGAAGGGCATGTACCTGGGTTGCGGGTATATCCCCAGTGGGGGATGTGCAGGAGGCAGCTGATCGATGTTTCTCTCTCATCGATGTTTCTAACTCTCTATCTCTCTCCCTTCCTCTCTGTAAAAAATCAATAAAATATATTTTAAAAAAAAAAGAAAGAAATTTTTACCATTTCACTTACAGTCTCACCAAAGCAGTCAGTTTCTAGAAAGCCCTGAAAATACTCTAGATAAGCAGTTTCAGGAATCTGAAAGCAGGAACTAGGAGACTGAAATTAAATGCTTGTTGTAGGTATAGGTAGATTTTAGGTATGTCATGTAAAATTGATTGTAGTTAGACAATACACTTATATCATCAAGGTCAGTATTCTTTTTAAAATTATGCCCCAAATCTTTAAAATATGCTCTTTTTACATGTATTTTGCCAAGCTCTTTTTTTTATTTCAGCTTAAGTAGACCAGTATCAATTGACATTTAATTTTAAAAAAAACAACAACTGAATTATAAACAACCGTGGCAAAAGATAAGGCTAGTAAAATAGAAAACAAAGATATAAGAATCCATTTACTGTAAAAATAACTATTTAGACATTTTTACTTTATAGATATGCATATGAATATAGGTCACAATTCTGTATTGTACATTATTATTTTATTTTCTACTTTTGTCTCTGTTTTTTCCTGTAGGATTTCCTTATGTTAAACACACAGTTCTTTTCTTTATCTTGTTTACATGCTTGCTTTTCTTACTGACTTTTAAAAGGGTTCAGAGCATAGCTGTATCTAATAGCCCATTTATTCCTGCATAGAGTCTGAGACCCAGTGACAGTTTAATCCCTTATATTTTCCAAGTGTTCATGATCTTACTAACTTTTCTTTGTTTTTTTGATCACTACCATTTGTTCCCTGACTCTGCATAATTGAACTGGATTTTATGGATGGAAAAGCTAAGGAGCATAAATTGCGTCCTCTCTTTCCATGCCGTCTGGGTTGTGTGGCCTTTATCTGATCTGAGCTGTTGCCACCTCCTCACCTCCTCCTCTCCATCCCCTCTCCACCAAGCCCCAGGATCCCGTGATTCTCCATGTTCTGTCACTCCCCTGCTTTAGGCTTGTCCCTGCCTGACTGCTAGTAGGACAAAGGTCACATTCTGTCCCAGGTCAGGCAGGTTCTTCATAGTCTGGCATCCACTAACCTCTGGTCTCAATCTCATCTCTAGCCTGTCACGAGTCCCTGTGCTCCAGTTTCATATTAAAAACAAACAAACAAAACATGGTTTTCCAAAAATGCCATATTCTGTATTACCCCCTGCCTGTGTACCTCCTCTGTGGGCACTTTACTGAACATACAGTTGTTCCTTGAATCCTCAGTGATCCATAGCATTTTGTCCATTCAGCAGTTATAACTTGTACCAAACTGTATTATTAGTTTGTGTATAGTTTTACAAAGCCCCTGACCTACTTGTTTTTACACCCTCCAGGCCAAGCATAATTCCCAGCATATCAATTCCCAGATACTGTCGAAAGTGGAGCTACTTAATTTGTCTAGGGTTATGAAAGTATGAAAACAAGATAACATATCAACTTAGAGATACAAATGTTTAGACCTAAAATGCATATGTGCCTAATAGCCACATTAGTTTATTATGCCATTTGAAAGGGCATCTGTGAAAGTATTCCAAGCAAGACAATTAAAATGGACTATTTTGGAAAATCAGATTCTTAGGGAGCCATCTGGGGCACATCTGGGGCTAGATAAACCTGCATCTATTTTGAGTAGTCCCCTGATTCACTAGGTGACCCTACATGTTTATAAAAACTTGCTGAGTAGAAATTTATTTCAAATAACACTTGGCATAGGCATTCAAAAAAAAATCAGGCTATGAAGAACCTTAATATAAATAAAAGCAGAGTGCTAGTTCTTTCCAAGATTATGATAGTTGTACATTGGTGCTCATTCCTGTGATGCTGATTATCAACATAAGAAAGTATAACGCACGCCGAAGCCGGTTTGGCTCGGTGGATAGAGCGTCGGCCTGCGGACTCGGGGGTCCCAGGTTCGATTCCGGTCAGGGGCATGTGCCTGGGTTGCGGGCATATCCCCAGTGGGAGATGTGCAGGAGGCAGCTGATCGATGTTTCTCTCTCATCGATGTTTCTAACTCTCTATCTCTCTCCCCCTTCTTCTCTGTAAAAAATCAATAAAAAATATATTTAAAAAAAAAAAAGAAAGTATAACACACAATGGACTCACAAAAATTTCTGAAGCCTGGATGAGCGTTTTTTTATTTCAATTACAGTTGACATACAATATCATTATTTTCAGGTGTACAACATTTTGATTAGACATTTATATACCTTACAAAGTGATCCCCCAATAAGTCTTGTAGCCCTCTGACACCACACATAGTTATTACAATAGTATTGACTATATTCCCTGTGCTGTACTTTACATTCCCATGACTGTTTTTATAACTGGCAATTTGTACATCTTAATTCCTTCACCTTTTCTGGATGAGCATTTTTGAGTGTATTTTTCAAGTGTAGAGATTCAAATGAACATATTCTTAGTATAACAATTTGTATATGAATCTTTTGAGCAGTGCACATAAAGAACCTTTCAGTGTTCGCGTTAAACACGGAAACTGTCTTATTTTAGTAATTATTTTTATTTCAAAAGAAACTGTGGTTTTTATTTTTCAGTGTTGAAAATGAGCCCATGAGCACAAGTCAGAAAAAGGAAAATGTGCTTTCATCAGAAGCAGTAAAGGTATAGTTTTAAATACATGTTTTATATCAAGCAAATATTTTTCTTAATTTCTGCTCATTCTTATTTTTTAGATTCTGTCATCTCATTTTATATTCCCCAAAGAGCACTTTATGTGGAAATCCAGCCCAGCTCTGCCAGACATTTGCATCTGGGGGTGGGGTAAAGGTGGGGGGAGAAGGGCACTGAAGGAGTTGAAAGAGTGGGGGGTTCTTATCCCAGCTTGGCCACTAACTGGCTGTGTAGCCTTCACCTGAGATGGTTAACTTCTTTGTGCCTTAATTTTCTAATCTGTAAATTGGATCACAGCCTCTTTCTCTAGGAAGATCTTTCATTTATGTTGTGTTTTCTCAAATGCTGCTGACAAAGGTGCTTTTGAGGGTAGAAGTTAACAACATATTCTCACATGGCATTAGTATGTAATGATATATTTGGTCAGCTCACATATGAACTGGCTTTCTTTGCTTCTGAAGTGTATAAGCTGTACACCTCCCTAGATAGTTATGGACAAGTGTGGTTAAAAAAACTTGAAAATCACTAAACCTTGTAACATTTCTTTTCGCTCATGCGGATTTTCTATAAATTAGATGTTGGTTTTGTTTGGTGATGTGAGGCCAGGTATGTGGCCACATTTTGGTAGCCGTCCAACATTCGTAGAGTTTGATCCCAGTTACTTTCTTTATATCTGATTTGTGACAGTCGGTCAAGGAGAAAGGGCGTGCTTTCCAGGGATTTTAGGGTAGCTTAGCTTGGTCAGTGGAAGGACCAGAAAGTCATCTGAATTCTTCATTACTAATGTGGGCACTTTTAAACATTATGTAAGGTCCAAATGCAATAGATATGGTCAAGATAAAGCTGTTTTCATTCTTTAGTCCTGCCTTCCCCATCATTGTAAACAATATCAATATTATTTGAAAGAAAAAAAATCAACATCTGGGTTTTGTTTTAGAACTTTAATGAAAGAATAAATCAGGATAACCTTGCTTCCCTTATCTTTCTTCATTACTTTGTGAGTTTGGCTACAAAATCCTGCCCCCAGGTTTTATAACATCTCCCCCCTCCCCTTTTGCAGTCAGTTGTTAGCCAACCTGCTGCTTTATCACTGCACATACTCTATAGCTTTCTTCCTCTCCTTTTTCAAAATGCTCACTTCCAATTCAAAATGCTCACTTCCAATGCTATACAGGCAGCCTTGCCCTTGAATGGCTTCACCGGAGATGTTACTTGTGAGATCTCAAACTTCGAAGTTTCTTTGGCTGCCAATTCTTGTCATTCCATCTCTTAATCCTTCATGGCCTCTGCCCCCACCCTTGACCTTCACCAAACCTTCCTGTTCTTGTTCCCTTCTCCCCTCTTGGTATCTACTTGTTTCTCTACTCAGCCTGTAACCTAGAGTGTACTACTTCAGCTCTAATCTCACGGTGAAAAACCAGTCTCCAAACTTGGCCTTCAGGCGTTAATTTCCAGTAGTGTTACTTTCCACCTGCAGAGATTGCATCTAGAAAGCCACATCTTTGTGGATTCAGTAAATATATATGGTGAGTGGGTATAGTGGCGAGGCCTCCATGATTACAATCTTTTCTATCCCTTCTTGTTTTGAGTGCCCAGGACAGTTCAATTTGGGATCTAGGCCCCCAAGTAAATATGACTCATAGTCATGAGACTTTTTCTCTTTATGATTTGAGGCCTATAAGGTTACTTATACCCGGGCAGTCCAGCTAGCCTGTAATAGAACAGGCGCCATGGAACTCTCACAAGGGTAGCCTGAGCATTTGGCCTATGCATCATCTTTGGACATCATTACATTTTTAGTTCTTAAAATATCACTTATATGCTATACAGTCGTGTGCCACTTAATGGCAGATACATTCTGAAAAATGCATCGTTAGGCGATTTTGTCATTGTACGAACATCACAGATGCACTTACACAAACCTGGATGGTAGCCTCCTGCACACCTAGGCTAAACGGCATCGCCTATTGCTCCTAGGCCGCAAGCCTGCACAGCATGCTACTGTACAAAACATAAGATGAAATCCACTCAGTCCAAGATGATGTAATCAGGGTATGTAAACACCACATGAGATTGCTGCCAGCGTAACATGACATACTCTTTTTTTTTTTTAATATTGATTTTAGAGAGAGAGGAAGGGAGAGAGAAAAATAGAAACACTGATTTGTTGTTCCACTTATTTATACATTTGTTGGTTGTTTCTTGTATGTACCCTGACGGGAGATTGAATCTGCAACCTGTCGTACCAGGACAGTGCCATGACACACAGCAACCTTTTTTTAAAATAAGAAGAAAGAATGCACTCTAAAATAACAATAAAAAGTATAGTAAATACATAAACCAGCAGCATAGTCATTTATTATCATCAAGTATTATGTACTGTACATAATTGTATGTGCTGTACTTTTATACAACTGGCAACGCTTACAGCAGCATCACCACAAACATGAGTAATACATTGCCCTACAATGAGGGCTACAATGCCAGGTAATAGGAATTTTCAGCCCTATTATAATTTTACGGCACCACTGTAGTATATGCGGTCCATTGTTGACTGCAACGCCGTTATTCAGTGCATGACTATACACATTTTGCTGTTTTGCTAACCTTAGAGCTATTTGTTATACTTGCATCTGCTATTCCACTGTAATATGAATATTTTTTATATTAATCAGGTTGTTATATCTAGCTGGCAAAACTTACAGGTAGTCCACATTCTACCTTTATTTCTCTGTGGGTTCTACAATCTTCTATTGCAGCTTTAGACTCTTGCTGCTTTCATGTCTACTGTTATTTAAAAGAGGGACAGGTTTTAAAGCCCTGCTCCCTTCTACCTACATCAGAGGAATAGTCATCCCTTTCTCCCTTCTAAGGCTAAACTCCCTAAAGACGCCACCAGTAGTATTGTTCACATAATTCCTGCCTTCTCTTGGGCCTTGTCTTGACTGCATCCATCCCTCCATCTTCACTGGCTTCTTCTATTTCTCTCTAAATATATAAAACACAATTGTATTGTGTTTGTTTTATTGTTTTTTTCACTTTAGGGATCTGGGTTTCTTGCAGTCTATTTTTTTCTTCACTCCTACCTGTTACCCAAACATTTCTTATGGAAGTCAGCCTTAATCACTGTTTAATTCTTTTTTTCTCTCTGCCCTCTCCCCCCTCCCTCACTGTTTAATTCTTAATGCTGTCTCTTTTTTTAATCTTTTATGGTGTTTTTTTTATTTTATTTTGTTTTTGCCAGTATCACAGATGTCTCCCATTTTCTATTTTTTTGCCCACCCAACCCTTGCCCTACCCCAGGCCTTCCCCATGCTATTGTCTGTGCCCATGGGTTATGCATATATGCACATATGTTATTTGGTTAGTCTCTTCCTGTGCCCTCTCCTACCAAACCCCTCCCTCACTGAGATCTCTTGTTCTGGTCCATACATCCATACCTCTGGACTTATTTTGTTGATTAGTTTATTTTATTCTTTTTTAAAAATATACTTTATTGATTTTTTACAGAGAGGAAGGGAGAGGGATAGAGAGTTAGAAACATCAATGAAGTGCCTCCTGCACACCCCCTACTGGGGATGTGCCCACAACCAAGGTACCCGCAACCAAGGTACATGCCCTTCACTGGAATCGAACCTGGAACCCTTGAGTCTGCAGGCTGATGCTCTATCCACTGAGCCAAACTGGTCAGGGTTTATTTTATTCTTTAGATTCTACATATACGTGAGATCATATGATACTCGTCTTTCTCTGACTGGTTTATTTCGCTTAGCATAATAGTCTTCAGGTCCATCCATGCTATATCAAAGTGTAAAAGGCCCTTTTTTTATAGCCACATAGTATTCCATTGTGTAAATGTACCTCAGCTTTTTTATCCACTCATCTACTCATGGGCACTTGGGCTGTTTCCAGATCTTAGTTATTGTAAATTGAGCTGCTATGCACATAGGGGTGTATATAGTCTTTCTGATTGGTGTTTTGGGTTTCTCATGATATATTCCCAGAAGTGGGGTTGCTGAATCAAACAGCAGATCCATTTTCAATTTTTTGAGGAATCTCTGTACGGTTTTCCACAGTGTCTGTACCAATCTACATTCCTACCACCAGCAGCATACTAGGGTTCCCGTTTCTCCACATCCTGACCAGCACTTAACATTTGTTGATTTGTTGATGGCAGGTCTGAAGTGGTACCTCATTGTAGTTTTAATTTGCATCTCTGTGATGATTAGTGACCTTGAGCATATTTTCATGTGTCTATTGGCATCTGTATGTCCTCTTTGGAGAAGTGTCTATTCAGGTTCTTTGCCCATTTTTTAATTGGATTGTTTGTCTTCCTGGTTGTGAGATGTATAAGTTCTTTGTATATTTTTAAAATTAAACCCTTATCAGATGTATCATTGGCAAATGTTTTCCTATCAGTAGGTTCCCTTTTCATTTTGTTCATGGTTTCTTTTGCTGTGCAAAAGCTTTTTAGTTTGATGTAGTCCCACTTGTTAATTTTTTTCTTTGTTTCCCCTGCCCTAGGTGATCTATCAGTAAAAATACTTCTACATGAGTGACTGAGATTGTACTGCCTTCTTTTTAAAAAAAATATGTTTTTATTGATTTCAGAGAGAGGAAAGGAGAGGGAGAGAGGCATAGAAACATCAATGATGAGAGAATCGTTGATTGGCTGCCTCCTGCATGCCTCCTACTGGGAATTGAGCCTGAAACCCAGACATGTGCCCTGAGCGAGAATCGTACCATGACCTCCTGGTTCGCAGTTCGATGTTCAACCACTGAGCAACACTGGCCCGGCTTTACTGCCTTCTTAATGCTTTCTGACTCCTGCCTTTCCCCTAGTCCTCTCAGGCATGGGAAACTTGGTACTGTCCGGGCGTATGTGTTATAGATACTCAAGTAGTTGTTAAATGAATGAAGGTCATTCCAAGGATCTGGTGGCTTTTTGTTAACCACATTCAATGCCTTTTTCTTTAAAAAAAAAAAATTTT